AAACCTGCGAACCCCGGGCCACCGCAGCAGAGCGTGCGCACTTAACCACTTACACCACCGGGCTGGTCCCTATCAGTGAATTTTTAGAATTAGTGAATTAGGTATCTTTCTCCTCTGCTACACCATAAACCTTGAGGGCAGATGTCTTGTTTTCTTGTTGCTGTCTCATTTTGGTTTTGAATGGACTAATTTTAAAACACTCAAATAAAACGGTGTTTTTACAAGGCAATGCTGTTTCAATAAGTCTGAGTTGAGACTTGCACATCTCTCACTTTTCAAATATGTTCAAGTGGCTCTGATGTGCTCCAATATCTGAAAATCACTGAATTAAGCAAAAATCTAGACAGAGATTATCACTACACAATAAATGTTTACAATTAACTCTTGAGGTTTAAGTAAGTATACAATCTGTTACATCATTCTAATTATTTCTGGTGATGGGAACAATTTCCTGAGTGGTGCATTAAATCATTCATTTTGAGTTTCAACCTGTACACATTAGAAACATCCTGAATATTAGTTAAGATGAATATTTATTGCCATGGAAAGATAGAATCATTAAATGAAAAAAGCAGATTACAAACCGACCTGTACAAAATATTCTCATTTTAATAGTGACTGCATAGATGGGTACATGTATGTACAGAAAAAAAATATCTGGAAAGATATACACTGAATTAACAGTAGTAATCTCTGGCTGGTGGAAATGAGGTTGTTTTGTTTTCTTATATTTTGCTTTTCTGTATGTCCAACTTTCCATAATGCACATAAAAATTTCCTTGTAAAACTAATAATCAGTAAAAAAATACATATGCCCTCTAACGGAATTGGTAGAGGTCTAGAGAGGAAGAGAACTAATGTCAATGGAGTGTCTCTATGTATCAGGCAGTGTGCTAGATGCTGGAGATAGAACGATTAGTAACATAAGGTCAGGTTTAGAGAAGTTAAGCAACGCACCCATGGTTATTCAGTAAGCAAATAATAGAGCTGGGATTCAAGACCAGGTTTTTCTGATTCTAAAATAATATTTATTCCATTTCATCTTGGTGTGTCAGATCCAATATCAGCCCTCTACAAAACTGTTAAACAACCAAAGTTTCTGCTGCCCTGCCTGCATTATTCCATGCTATGAATTGCTACCATGGGGCCAGTTTCAGGATGTTCTTATCCATCGACCTAATCCTTATTCCATTCGCTAATGTTCTGATCAACTAATCTTATAAAATAATTGATGCCAAGGAATTAATGTATTAGTCATTGTACTGGGCTTCCCAGTGCCATCTATATACAGCCTATTGTGCTAGGTGCTGGGATGACAGAGTTCATATTCAAATGGTGGGAGGAGTTACTCACATAATAACTGCATTACAATCTGATAAAGGCTATATTAAGATAATAACAAAACATTCACTATGAAAGCACAAAGAAGTTAAGTGCTTATTCTGTCTGAGATGTCACTGAGAGTTTAAAAGAAAAAAAAAAAAACAAACAGATGGACAAAGAGAATTGATTAGCGGTTACCGGAGAGGACGGGGGTTGGGGTATGGGCATAACGGGTAACGGGGCACGTCTATATGGTGACTGACAGATACTAACGCACAACCGAAATTTTACAATCTTATAAACTGTTACGACCTCAATAAAATAAAAAAATAAAAAGGTGACAGAAGGGCGTATGAAGCAAAGACCATTGCCTGTGCAAAAAAACTCCTAGCAGTTACAGAGCCCTCCTCCTAAGGGTCGGCCTGACCATTTCATGGCAACCTCCTATAACCACCTTGCCCTTTCGTTGATGCCACACTCCAGTGCTACATGTCTCTGGGTTTGCGGCAGGCCAATGGTAGGAAATACTTTTAGGCAGCCCTTTCAGTAGACCTTAAAATAACATCCCTTAAAGCAAACACCTGTGGCCTATGCAGCTTTTCTTTCACATGAGTACATGTCGTTCTCACTGAACTGCATCCCGGAGCAACTCACATAGTGACATGTTTAATGTAGCTGGGTTACCTACTTGCAGAGATTAGAAAGCTGTCAGCAAAACATCCGGGAGGGCTTTGTGAATTGCTTTCTAAAATCACTCTAAATTAGCAATTAATGGAAATTTTTTGACAATTTATTCAACACTGAGTACAGCGGGATAAAAATCAACCTCTGGAGAATTTGAATTTGTTTATCATTAATGCTAGAGTATATTTAACAGATGAATTTTTTCCAGAATAGTCATCTCAATTTATTTCAGGGTATACCCTTGATTAGTAAATTCTTTCACTCACCTTTAAAAAAAATAGAAATTAGCTCATCCAAGGAGTAAAAGGGAGACACAAACTTTTGAGTCAGCAATATGCTTGGGGAGGAAATACGTGAATATGTAGTTAGAGACAAGTGGAACTACCATTTTTGCATAGTTACAAGTAACTAAGGTTTTTCAGGCAACAGTGATAGGTAATTTGTACATAAAGATATGTATTCCCTTGTGTATTTTAAGTGAACTATATTTATGGGTTTCCAGGAGTGCTGGCATGGTTACTTTTTCAATTATTTCACACTCACAGGTTACACAATTAACTGGACTTTTGTAAATCACTTTCTCTCTGAACCAGAAAATATTTCAAAATAATTAAACTTCTACATAATATAAATACACACATAGTTAGGCTATTTAGCCCTTTAAAAGGCAAGCCACATGATCTGAGAACAAAAAGATATACCATAAATTATGAGCAAGTTAAGAGTGAGTCAGTGTTGAAGTTAACAGATGTTCCTTCTATTTCTTCCTTAAAACCCCACCTCACATAGAAAGTGCCATTTTCTCTGAAAATGTTCTCCTAATGTCCCAAAACAATGACAAAATACCATAAAAATACCCCATAACCTACAAGAAGACAGGCAGTGAATACTTCGGTGAAGTATTTAAAGAAGTTTTTAGCAAACATATATTTTTAAGTAATAAGACAAACTGCCTACAAAAAAAGATCTTTCAAGCTAATTTCTGAAAAAAATTTTAAAGAAATCTTCAAATCTAAGTATTTGCAGGTGAAAATATTAAATTCCAATGTCATCTAAAATTTATACATTTTTCCTTATCTTCTGGCATCACATATGGGGAAGATTATGAATGGATAATCACCATGGCCTGACCTAGAAATGAATCAGGGAAAATTTTAAGAAAACAAGGAGGGGAAACAAAACAGGATTCCATACTATTTGAGTAAATTTTTATTTATTTATGTATTTATGCATTTATTTATTTTTCTTAGCCTTGAACTTTAGGTCTCCAAAGGCAAATACATTCATTCAGTAAATATTTACTGATTGCCTATGATTTGCCTGGCATTAGTGGGGAAATGAGAGAATATAAAGGTGACAGTTATATTCTCTGGTCTCAAGACATTTACTACTGAGTTGGAGACACATACATGCACACGAATAAATTTTACTGCTATATAACACCAACTATATAAACTGTTAGAATAATCTATGTAAACAAAACCTCATTTTTTCTTTATTTCTTAACTCACTTTTAGTACTGTTTATTACTTGGTTCAAATTTGCAACTGAACAGGATGTAGTGCGCAGACACCAAGGCAGCATCTGAGTGCCAAAACATTTAAGGAAAAACTGCCATGCCACAATACTAATCCAAGGTCAGCACAAGTTGGCCAGTTTTGAGGAAGGGCCAATCTCCCTTCTCACTTTCAACATTCTCGCATATGGAGAAGAACAACCTGTTTTCCTAACAACACATTATTTGAATTTATCTGAGCCCCAAAGCACCTTTCTTCAACTTAATCCCATTTATTTTTAATCTCCAGCCCATCTTCTTGAAACATACTTCCTGTGTCCTTGCTAATCGTATATTATTACAGTGAAGGTTATAACATCACTAATTTTTAACAATATATTTATTCTACTTTAGGTAAGAATCTTTGAGATTTACAAAATAAAATCTTATTAATTTGGATTTTACAAATTAAGAATCTTTTTCAGAACGAGTAGGGACTGGGCTCATTTGTCTTCCTTGCAGTTTTTTCTTGTGATTTAACTGGTAAGCAGAATTGGAAAATTTAAAGGATGCTCAAATATAATATTTGGTATTAAAAACAGCAACAACAAAAATATACAGTCTATATCCTGGAGCAGTATACATTCTGCCCAGTCTGCCATACATTCTACATTTTCACACTTAGAATCCCTGCTTTGAATGATGGCACTGAAACTCAGTGCAAGTTCCTTAAACAACAAACATTCAAATATATTCACAAGTATTGATAGTATTAAGGCAAGAAGTGAAAAAACACACAATCATTTATCTAATTAACCACTGGTCATGAAAACTTAAATAAGGGTTGAAGGAGAAAAAGATTAATTAGGTTTTCAGATTAATTCTGAACATTCAATCAGCAGAATTCTTGCATTCCTGAAGTGTTCTGACCAACTGAGATTTTGGTATAAAAAAAAGATTCTATGATAAGTTTTTTTCAAAGAGAATAAACTTTCTAAAAAGCATGTTTAGCACCAACAACTTACACACTATAAACACTAAGATTACAATTTACAAATGGAATGTTTCCAAAAGTTGGTAATCTAGAACTTGGAATGTATTTTCCAATCGGAACAATGCTCTAAAACTATGGCTAGCTTTCCAGAACAGATGTACAAACACTGTTTGTTTAAAACATATTCTTAACATACCATCTATCTGCAATGAAAAATACCTATAACAATATTATTGTAATACTAGTAACAAAAAAATATATACACAACTGTAAAACCATGGCTGCGTGGTATTAGAGAGACAGAATATGTAAATAACTTAAAGAGAGAACACAACTAACATTTAGCCAAAAATCTTTGGATGAGAATTCAAAAAGATGGTGTTGCAGAGCTGTAGAACAGTATTAAAGCCTAGTTTTAATTGCCTAAAGGACACCCCCCACCTCACTCTCTGCCCAATACACTAGGCACAGGTTAAATTGGGCACGATCTACCTACAAGACAAAAGCCACACTGAGTTAAAAGCACAAACACAAGCGTGAAGAAGGAAAGTGGGAGGGCACTGGAAGGTAAATCTGGGCACTTGGAGAACAGGGCGGCCATCTTTAGCTCCACAGGCCTGCGTAGTTCCCGTGCAGGCCTGAAGGGAGAGGCCCCCCAGCCACGAAGAGCTTCATCTCAGGCCAGTTGTAGCAGTGAGTGTAGAGCGCGTTGGGGAACTCGCCCATGCCGCCAAAGTAGTTCACCCACAGGTCGTCGTGGTTGAGCCAGCCTCTGCCACAGGTGAGCTTGAGCTTCCTCGCTGCGGGCCCAGGAGAGGAGTCTGGGCTGGCCGAGGCCTTCTCTTCCAGGAACTTCTGAGCGCGGACGTCATAGAAGAGCAGGGAGCCGTGGCCCGTGCCCACGGTGACGAGGTGCTGGTAGAAGCTCAGCGAGCGCACGCCCGTGCCGCCCTCTCGGGAGCACAGGGGCCGGATGTTTTGGTGACCATGGCGCAGATCCAGGAAGGAGACGTGGGACTGGGAGCCCACGGCGTACAGGGACAACTCGTCGCAGTAGGTTAGGCACACGTTCTCTCGGCAGTAGGGCAGCCTGATGGACAGCATCCTGGACAGGGTGCTGTGGGCTTTCCACAGGTGGAAGTAGCCGTCCAGGGACACCGCTCCCAGCTCCTGGTTTTTGCGATTGAAGGCCAGGGCCCGTACCTTGCGGTTACTGGGGTTGGTGCAGGCCCTGGGGATGGTCTCCAAGACCCTCGGACGGATGTGGGCATATAGGGGGAGCCCTGCGTCGTTGTGCCAGGCGATGCTGCCGTTGAACATGTCCGGGTCCATCCGCCACAGCGCCACGGTGCCGTCGCGGGAGCCGCTCACAGCCACTGTGTCACTCATCCAGGCGATGGCGAAGATCCAGTCCTTGTGGCCATGGCGGTCGCCCAGGCACACGGGGTCCAGGGTGGGCAGCTGGTAGACAGCCAGGCTGTTGGGGTTCTCGCCCCCGGTGGCCAGAAGCGTCTTGGAGGGATTCAGCTCGATGGCGTGGATGCCGCAGCTCGGCTGGGCCCGGGCCAGCCCGGGCCCCCGGTCGCGCATCAGGGGGAGGCGCGTGATCTGGCCCGACTGCACGTCCACCACGAAGAGCGTGTTGCACTTGGTGCCGCACACCACCTGCCTGGCGTTCAGCCACTGCGACGCGAACACCTTGTTGAGGGTGCCCAGGGCCAGCTCGCGCTCCCGCAGCAGCTCGGGCAGCTTCCGCACCGCGTAGCCGCGCAGCTCGCCCTCGAAGCCCGGGAGCCCGGCGCGGCCCCGCGCGCCCACCTCGCGGCCCTTCAGGTAGCGCACCAGCGAGCGCCGCGCCGCCGGCCGCTTCTGCCTCTTGAGCAGCAGCGGTCCCTCTCCGTCCGCCGCCGCCGAGCCCTGCGACGACGAGCTCGCGGCGCCC